ATGTAAGTAAACGTAGCAATGATACTGCGTGGAGCGTCTGGTTTGTGTTTCTTCTGATACTCTGATACTGGGAGTCTGTGGACTACCTTAAAAATATGTCGTCTGCTCTTTGCTCAGAAAAGTTTAGTTTGGTGTACAAAAACTCACGCAGAATCCTCTCTGTGTTCTCCTTGGGAGATTCCGGAATTCCGTAAAAGAGCAAATTAGGACGTCGGTCATGTATATCCTTCAGAATGCACTGTTGCTCAAGTGGAACTCGTTGTCCCGTTTCGGAGGCCAACTCGTCCTGTAGATTTTTGATGATAGAATCTTGTTTACATTTTACGAACTCAATTGCACTCACTTTTCAAGTCCTTTAGATCATCTTTCACAGAGTCTATTGAGTCTTGCAGTTCACATTTAGTGGATTTGATGAGATCTGCTAGCCTCTTCTCTGATGCAAGGACGATGTCCTCGAGTCCAGAATTTGTTCGAGTGACACGCGTCTCCGCCATTGCTAGTCAGAAGGGATGCAAACACTTCGTCAAAACTATGGATTCAAACTTGATAATAATGCAATACTGTAGAAAATGCAACTTTAAGCACACGGGATTCTTATGTATAGTTTCATTATCACAGTTGAGGAATCATATTTGTAGATGTTTAGGGATTCATCCACGGGTAAGTGAGAGCCAGGAAAACGCGTCTACCCGTAAGCCATGCGCAACCCTTATTAACCTTCTCAAGTAAATGTCTTTAAAAAATAAACACTTTGTGTAGGTAATTACTTCATGATCATTTGCCTTCAGCAAGATCCCATGTGGACCTGGCTTCTCCATATCTATTTCTGTATACAATTTGATACAATTCTATTGTAATAGTGTCTGGTCTTAAAAATTCTAGATTGATGAGCAACATTTGTCATGTTGGTTATATGGAAGAATGCGTTGTTATTTGTTATGAATTACCATGTCAAACTCAATTCAAGTTGGTAAAGAAACTGGATTGTTTTGCGTGGCAATTGTCCGGCTGGCAATTGTCCTGGTGGTAATTGTCCTAGGTGGTAATTGTCCGGGTGGCAATTGTCCGGTTACAATTTTCCGGGTGGCAATTGTCCTGGGTGGTAGTTGTCCTTGGTGGCAACTATCCGGGTGGCAATTTTCCTGGGTGGTAATTGTCCTAGGTGGCAATTGTCCGGGTGGCAATTGTCCTGGGTGGTAATTGTCCGGTCGGCAATTGTCCTGGGTGGTAATTGTCCAGATGGCAAATGCCCAGATGGTAATTGTCCTGGGTGGTAATTGTCCGGGTGGCAATTGTCCTAGACCCGTCTCACTGACTATCTACAAAACCCTATTAAACATTCTAGAAATACAACAAAATGTGCCTATATCCAGGTATTCACAAGGAGTGATGTACTATTTTGTGATCCTTGTAAATATCTAATTAATTAGTCATAACTTATTTTTATCTTATACTTCATAGATTTAGCTAACTCAAAAAGACAATGCAAACAGAATGTATTGTTTCAATAAAATGCAATGTGTAGATAATGGATATCTAACTTATTGTATCATGTATCCTAACTTGTCCCTGCTCTAACCTGAGCAGTGCCTTCATGTGCTGACAGATTTTAAGGGTGAAGAAAACATGTAGGTTAACAATAAGTGTTAATTGTTCAATCAGTCTATTGCGCTTCTTAGTATGGGGCATTTTGAGGGTGACAGAAGTACAGAAACAGTGTGTTGCTGCTGACTGGTACAACTAAACAACGTTACCAAGTCAATGGCAGATAGTGAGGCGGACAGTAACAATAGACAGGCACCTAGTCACAGTCACGTGATGAATGAGTCAGGATTTCCCCGAGAGTAGCTTCTACAGTATTTGTAATGAACTTGTTGCCACTGTTCCACGTGTATAGAACAGTGTGTTTGCTGGGGTGACTATGTATGCGGTCATTTCTTCCCACATGACATTCACATTATAATCACTGTGACAGCGTCCATCGCTTATGTGTGCTCTTAATACAAAGCCGTTTGCCAGGTTACATGGGATCGTATCTTATATTTTCAATGCAGTCTTATGTAATCAAACTGATAAATCCGGTTGACATAAATACGAAATGTAAATACACTGTACATACCGTTTAAAGACTTTGGCAGAAAGATATGTGTCATGGCACTGAACGTGATTACAACATGGAGATATACCCCAGGTCTTCCTCAAATCTAAAGAAATAATGTCCACCCTGTAAGTGAAATATAAGGATGTGATCTCAACTGGTACACGTACGGACCTGAAGCATCACAACATAGACCATGTAGACTAAATATAGTACAATAATGCACATATACTATTCACAAAGATTATCATGCATTATATCTAAATATGTATGGTACTATTTACAATTCCCTATTAAACATCACAGAAATACAAGAATACCTGCACACATCCAGTCAATCACTAGAAAGGATATAATATTTTGTGATCCTTGTAAATGTTTAATTGATCAGTCATAATCTATTTTAACAAGAGACAATGTGCACAGTGTACAATCAAATCTACACAGATCTCCGGAGACATATCGCCAGCAGTTGTACAGCTTCAAGTCAATTCATGAATGCTTTTGGAATCCCCAGGTGCATCTGAACAACTGTGATGAAGACACTCTCTTGTAATACATTATGGGACGTCCCCAGTACAAGTGCACTGACACAGACGTTCTCCTCGACTTTCAACTTCACTCAGCTCTCTTCTTGATGTCGGCAATGTCAACTTATCAGCCCCTGATGTTATGTGTGCTGCCTCATCATATTTCTCTATTTCTCTATCAGTAAATTAACTCTCTTCTCTTGTTGATGTAACAGGCATCTCATCTCAGTTTACTTAAAGATACAATGCAATAATACTGTATTATTTCAATACAATAAAAATATAGATATTGGATATTTAACTTTATCATCTATCCAAACTTACAGTGCCGTCATGTGCTGATAGATCTTCAGGGAGAACAAAGCATGCAGTTAAACAATTGGCGTCTATTGAGCTTCTTGACATTGGACAATGACAGGGTGACACAGAAGTATAGATAGACAGTATTATTGCTGACTAGTAACATTTAACGAAATGACAACTAGTTATTTATTAGAAATATATGTAAAATATACGTGATTTAAAATAAATATATCGGCCACGTATACACATAAAAAAAGTATCGCAAAACCCCTTTATTTTCATAGTATCAATATGTTACCATTAAACCTAACAAAGGGAACTTAATACCCAAACATCAGTTTAACTTACTGTCAAAATACTTTGGTTATTAAGAAATAATTAAATGGCATATCTGAACGGAAAGAGAACAGAAGTTTATTCAGAGATGCAAACACTGCACACAAAAGATGACAGTTTCTTTGGACTATGGACGTATGTTGTGAACAAGTGCGGTAATTTTCAAAATTCTGGCATACAATCCTCAAGAAATCACTGACGTATAGACAAACCGAGCACATTGTCAATGTTTGGCTTCCGCCAACTGCAATGCCAACCTCGGCTCTCCTCCCCACTGACTGTATCAGACGTTGAATTAGACGTTTGGGTATCACTTTAAATTTCTATTCTTGATGCCCGATCTGTGGTCAAGCCAGGGCTGCTGACTATTCCTAAGTTGTCCTGCCTTCATCCCTGTCAAACCATCGCCTATCAGCTTCAGCGACCGCTTCATGAGCCTTAAAACTGCAGTCTTACCAACCTGATTGCCAGAACTCTTATCAACAGATAAGGCACAATAAACTGCATGAGCTTCATTGCTAAATACAAGAAACCATTGTCCAACTGTGACAGAGCTGGATATTGCCTCACAGACTGACACCGGGTATTTGGATCAGATGTGCAGTTCAGTGTGCAGTAAGACCTGCAGAAACCACTCTTGTCGGTTGTCAGTCTCTTGCACAGGTGATTGTACTAATGGTTGTGTGCCAGGATATCAAGGCCCTCGGTGCAACACACCATGTGACAGTCCAGGAGGTAGCTGTACAGCATGTCCAGGTGGTTGTGATGGAGGATATTGTCAGCTGGACTCCTACTACGGGACTGCTGTAAGTCCCCATGGTCCCTAGTATGGTGATCTACCTTCAGTTGTTAGCGATCTATAGCCCATTTTTATATTGTGTTGTCCCCCATAGTTAAAATGTTTTAGATTCAATTACTAGTTTTACATATATATCTGTGATAATCTAGTTATTTTACTGTCCTTCGTTGGCAGAATTTTATAATTTCACTTAAATTGTTGATATATTTATAACTTGCTTTAGTCACGATATGGCTGAAATATTGCCGATGTGACTAAAAATCTTAACTCACTCACTCAATCACTACGGTACTGACTGTAAGTCGTGATCGAGTCGATGTAAGTCCTGCGACAGGATCACTGGAGTGTGTGACAGTGTCACCCTGGCTACTTTGGTCCAAACTGTGGGTATCCCTGTGATCCTGTGAAAATGGATGCACAGGGGGTGTTCTGTGACAAGACATGCAATGACAAGTGTGGACCAGACACCAACATTTCTACTGACAAACCTCTACTGGCGCCACACACTGGAGTACGCGACTGTCACAGAGACAGTGGGGAGTGTATCCACGGATGTGACGAGGGGTGGTATGGCCGACAGTGCTCTTCTCCGTGTAGTTCTAACTGTAGAAACTCCAAGTGTCAGTCAGACACCGGGTGGTGTACAGATGGGTGTGCAGGTAGCTTCTATGGAGGACGTTGTCATCTCACGTGTAAAGTCTGTCTTGGTGGTGTCTGTGATCAGAAGACTGGCACCTGTTCCAAAGGCTGTCAGCTGACTGGAGGAAGATGTGACTCAACCTACACATCCAACTGTTCCTTGGAGGAATGTCTGAGACTGGAACACTGTAGCAAGGTAACTTTAGCATTGCATCACTGTTAACCAGTGGTCTAACTGTAATCACTTCAGTTCAATGCATGATCATATAATACTATATTTTCTTTGTATTTACAGGGGTCGTCTTTGGTGTTCAAGTAGCCACTCTGTCTACGACGATACTGTTTGTCGTGGTTGGCAGTCTGGTGGCCATGGGGATGTGTTGCCGTAGACGTATGGGGATGCCAAGATGAGGGTGTGTGGCAGTCTGGTGGCGGTGGGGATGTGTTGCCGTAAACGTGTGGGGATGCCAAGGTGAGGGTGTGTGGCAGTGTGTTGCCGTAAACGTGTGGGGATGCCAAGGTGAGGGTGTGTGGCAGTCTGGTGGCGGTGGGGATGTGTTGCCGTAGACGTGTGGGATGCCAAGGTGAGGGTGTGTGGCAGTGGGGATGTGTTGCCGTAGATGTGTGGGGATGCCAAGGTGAGGGTGTGTGGCAGTGGGGATGTGTTGCCGTAAACGTGTGGGGATGCCAAGGTGAGGGTGTGTGGCAGTCTGGTGGTGGTGGGGATCTGTTGCCGTAGACGTGTGGGGATGCCAAGGTGAGGGTGTGTGACAGGCTGGTTGCGATGGGATGTGTTGCTGTAGACGTGTGGGGATGCCAAGGTGAGGGTGTGTGGCAGGTGATATCCGTTGGGAGATATCTAAGAATAAGGTTCTGTATTAAATGTCGTGTAAACACAGTGTTTGTGACTCGTCTTTAAATGAACCTATTTTAGCATGTGTAGTATCAGTCTTTTTAGATTACACAAAGCGCGCAGATGGCCATCATAGAATCGAACAGGAGCGAATTTTTGTGGATAGATTATTATGGATACCAGCTTCTGAATGCCACTCAAAGAAGAGGTCATACAACCATAACTTCTTACAAGTGATTAGTTCAAATAGAATAGAAATGGAAATAGCCAATTTTTCATTAATCTTTTTCAACAATCGAAAATAACATGCTTTATTACCCATACGGGCTAGGGTAAACAGGTGATTATTTTCGTGATTACCGCACATGTGCTTTTTTATTCTCAAAGTTGATTGGTCGGCTAAGCAGAGAAGAAATATGATTGGTTGATGGAACAACTTTTCATGACTTCTTTGGTGGGCATTTTAGAAGTTGAGCTGATGAAGAATGATGACAATTTTTATGGATATACAACTTCTTTTATTTGTGAAGGCGACGTTTCGACATAGATTCTAATGTCGTTATCACTTGCTTGTCGAAACGACTCCTTCACAGAATACAAGAAATTGTATATCCATACAAAATTGGATCATCATTCAAAAATCTTCATTCTACTTTTCATGGTCCAAGTTCATTGACAACTTTTACCGTTTCATTGACAAATAGAACGTGCTGTACTCACACATTTCCGAGATTTAAAAAAGAAAACATAAAGACTAAGGAATACTCTTTTTATTAGGCATTATTTTGCAATTAAATTGCGTTGTAAATAGTAGTCTTCTTAAAATAAATAACATTGCAAAAGAAAAAAAACAATCGCTTGCATTGTTTGTAAACAAACATGGCCGCCATTGGGCTAACCCCAGACCCTCTCCAACGTCCTGTGCAGTCACCTGGTGTACCATCACATCAAATTTTGTAAATTTCCGGACACAAAAATGTTCAATCAATTATCGGTTACTAATTGTTCATTAATAAATTGTTGTCAAACCCTTGTAACTCCACCACTCTAACCACTCATCTTCTGCCTCAGACTGTCACCATGACGTCACAGTCTTTGTCGCATGCCGTAAATCTTTATTCTGTACTATTCCCAGGTCCATTTGATTGTGGTGTATTCCACTTCAACATCTCCAATGACTCTTCTGTCAGTCGACCATCTGCTCCAAAGAGACATATCCTTCCCATTGACTCGGATTCCGATTAGAGTTACCCTTCTTTGAACTGCTGTACACCACTGGGACTAATGACGTGACTGTAACACGCCTTCCACAGAATAAAAATATTGTTTTATCTTCAAAACTTGTTGAGTTTCTTGACAGAAACATTTCTACATGTATTCGTGGGATAGTTGATATTTAGATTTCCCAACTTTTAACAGTTGACCTTCCCCCGAATTGACAGTTTTTTGTCAAAGTGTGTTCAATGCTACACCGTCACCCGTCACTAGACACACGTCAGCAGTGAATAAACGATGTTCCGGCGCACTGACTTGGTCAAATAACGTTTTAACTGTTATTAAGTTCAATGATATTGTATTTAAAAGATCATATTTATCATATTAACAAATGTTAATTAATTATTCCATAAAAAATATTTTTCTTGTACTTTAAAGCGCTTTTACGCGGTACTATTTATCGGTGTTGTGATTGTTGGCCTTCCCCATCCTGGGCGGTCTTGGGTCTGGCCTGTTTGATGGTATTAGTTTGCTGTTGGTGACCTGGCTGCAGTAAAAGGTTCTTGCCAGCTGACATTGTGAAGCCCCAACATTGGCCATACCGGTCGCCCTTGCTCGTCGCGCTTGCGTATGTCTTGGCATATTCAAGATGATTTTTTACTGTATGCGTGCACTGTCCAACATTTATGCCACATTCATGCACATGCATTTGGACCACAATTACGCTTTTTACGTTTTGAAAAGTGCAGGTTTCGTACAGCTGTGTTTTTATCGGGACTATATTGAGTTTTCTCCTTGCGTTCAACCCTGTACCAGCTTTTTTTTATATTTATGCTGTAAATGTGATAACGTTCTTCTGTCGTTTAAAAGGAGGTGTATCCAAGAGAGTTAGTATAAACAGAAATATTTCTTCAATACATGAGATTGTCGACCCTTAGGAGAGTATCTGTTTTTAGAAGGTCGCAGATCCTTTGATGTTTTCTCGACCATTGGAGTCTCAGTCATTCTGTAGAGGGTCGCCAAATCCTACACATTCATGGAACCTCGGGGTTTGTAGGTCCAATAAATTCACCCGAGGTCATACAGCTCCAGTCAGCAGTAGAGTATTGTAAAAATCAAATGGCTACAATTTACTTACTTGCAGCTTGCATTCATTAAGATCAGGTGATTATAACACAAAACTATTTTTAATGCCATATCCTTTTAGCACATATTGTGTCGGCAACAAGACCGGAAGTAGAAAGTAGACCGTCGCTTGTATCATTTCAAAGGAACAGTAATTGCTCCTTACAAAAAAAACCGGATACACTGAGTCACATTTTCTATATCACAACCGCTCGGGTCTCACGGACAGTAGGCGTCACGTGACCTCATATCACTTCTCTCCCGTCATGTACCGTACACACAACCATGGTTTACGAATATGTTATTGCAGAGGACTTAGGGGTTGTTTTGTCCTCCATGTCATTTAGTATATCCGATAAAACACTGTATATGATCTTCACTATTTAACTGTATCGTGCTGAAGTTTTCTCACTTACCTCCACGACAGTAGGTACCTTCTAAATATTACAGGCCCACAGATTAGTGAAGACCTGCATACTTCAAGTCAGGGGGATGTTCTCTTTGTTATCGTGTTGATATTTATCTTCAACCTTTTGCACCTGTAGCTTGGTACAGCTTGCAGCAGTCGGAGCATCTGTTTATTACCTTACAACAATGGCCATGTTATCTTTGCTGTGTGAATGCAGGGTATGCCTGTACGTAACAGTAACAGGTAGGCGATGTTAGATTTTGAGTTCATCTAAGTAACTTGTCTTTATATACAGACTGATGTTAGTGTTATCGTAGTGTATAGTATTATTGTCTATAATTAATATAGTGGTGTAGTATTATTGTCTATAATAATACAGTAGTGTAGTGTGATGTCAGTAAATAATATAATATTATAGTATGACGTCAGTTAATATTTGAGAAGAAAAGTCTGCGCATACGGGCAATGTCCCTGTGCTAATGATGATGGACCATCAAGCATGTCGCCCATCTTGTCCACCCAATCAACGAGCACATCGCCACTGGACCCAGTGGATAGAGCAGCTGTAAGGAGAGAACATGGTCGGTGGTTCGATCCCTGGTCTAGAGAGAGACATTGTACAATTTACAGGGACGTTGATGGTGGCCAATGAACGCTGAATGGTGGTCTGAAACAACGTACATATTCTGACCGAACGGAAATAGAAATTTGCAGCCAACGCGAAACTTATTCCTTTTATGACAAAAACTCCACATAATGTATGCCCAAGACATGTCGACTGAAATGTAGCCTCGTGTATTTAACAATGACTTGTTTGTACGACAGATAACAGACACACGTCACTATCAGTACAGTGAGCAGATACGACAGGTCAACCTGACATGGACTGTATCACACCAGACGCACGAAGTTCATTGTGAAATACAGCAACCATACACATTGAAAAAAAGTATCGAAATACCCCATACTTTTCAGAGTGTCACTATGTTAGCATAAACCATAGAATAGGAACTTATCCAACCTCACTATCTGGATAAACTGACCCTCTAGGGATATTTATATCGGAAAGCAAAAGGAACGGTGGAACGGTAATTTATACAGAGAAGCAAACATAGTAAAACTTTAACTCAATATGTTGTGAGTATATATGCAAGGCGTTAACAGGTGCGTTGATTTTCACATAACAACATCAAGAAATCACATTAGCATCAATAACTGAGCACAATATCAACGAATGACGTCCAGTAATAGCAATAACAACGTCGACCAACTGACTGTATCAGACGTTGAATTTGACTTGGAGGTATCGCGTTCAGGTCTTGATGCTTGAACCCTTCTGTTGGTCAAGTCACGACTGCTGGCCATTTACATCTTGTCCCGTTCTGCCTTCATCCCTTTCATCCCTTGGTACACCTAAACCATTGTCTATTAGCTACAGGAACCACTTCATGAGCCTGAAAACTGCAGGCTTCACATCATGATTGCCAGGACTCCTATCAACAGGTGAGGCAGAATAAACTAACTTCCTGAGCTTTACCCCTCAATGCACTTTGCAACAACAGGGTCCAGTTCGTCTGAGGAAATTGTATAGAGTTAGACACATATTCGGAAAACTTGTCAATGTCGCATTCAGAAATGGTTGGAGAGAGGGCTACGTGCCTGGAAATGACCAGATGATCTATTACCAGTTAGGGAACTGATGGATAGATCATCGATGAATCCTCTCAGTCTTAACAACAGAATAGTCCGTACCATGCTAAACGATGTTTAGTTTAATTGTGTACAAGTATGTGGTTGATTTTGAACAGTTGAGTACAAGGTTTTGTTAATATTTCTGTGCAAGTATGCTTTGACACGTCGTGTACAATAGATCAATAGATCGCACCTTCATTCATCCACCAGGCAGTCTTTACATATCTGAACTGACACCAGGCAGACCAGTTGGGGAAATAGTATCAATTTGTGTCAAGGATTAACCCGTGATGATCCGGGTCAGAATTTATCTTCAGTAACCCATGCTTGTCATAACGGTCGGTCAGGCTCGCATTGTATCCCAATTGCGTAGAACGATGCTCGTGCTGTTGATCACTGGATTATATGGCCCAGACTTGATTATTTACAGACCGCCGCCATAAAGCTGGTATTGTGCTGAGTGCGGCGTAAAACTAAACTCACTCACTACCAAGGATTAGTCACTGAAGGTTACTGAGGAACTCCTAACCAGTAGTTTATAATTTAATATGTTTGGCTCTGCACGTAGTTATCCTGGCACAGTGGCAATATAACTTTAATGTGAACCTCTCTGTTGGCAAAAGGCCAGTACTAGTGGCTACGTTCAAGTCAATGACAGACAAGTCAATGGTGAGGCGAACTGTAAAAATAGACGGGCACCTAGTCACAGTCACGTGATGAATGAGTAATGATTTCCCCGAGAATAGCTGCTACAGAACTTGTAATGCACTGGCTGACATTGATCCATACATATAGAACACCTAACACATAGCTGTCAAATTGTACTAAATGTCATAACAAACAATATCGATATTGGAAGGGACATGACTCCTGTAGGTTTAAACTAGTTTTTAAAGGACTTTTGATTTCAAATAACCATTTATGATATACCTTTAGGTCCAATGTATTTCCACCTCTTACATGATACTTATACATTATTATATTCTCAAAAATATGAAGAAAACCTTTTCGTGATAATTATAGTAGGATTTTCCAAGTGACTTTGATTTCAATTTTCAAAGGTGTCAAACCGTCATGGTCGTCAATATTGCCCGTCGTTACTGGGTAAGATAGAGACATACTACCCATGAAACTGTTTCATATGCACTGACATTTATCCAATCGAAAGTCTTCTAATTTATCTAAAGGGACATAGAAATACGTGCGGTAGATACAGAAGTCCTATTGCAACATGCACCTTAATCGTGCTGTTTTATTTATTCCAACAAATGATGTTGACAGATTGATTCAGTTGATCATATTCCTTTCTTCTTTATGTTGTGTTGTAGTTTAACGCCGACATATGCTGAAATATGGTATAGCTGCACGAAGATGAATAAACCTGCTGTAAAGCACTTCCTGGATGTGCCTTGTGAGTGGAGATGTGCCATACAGAGTTGCTTCCCTTGAAACATAACAAACAACTTTACCGACTGTGAATGTATGAACCTGTACATTAAACTGTTCCACGGCGGGATGACTTGTCGTTACACAACACCAAATGTTTTCCCATACACTTCTATAGTAACCATATATATTGCTTTCAATTATCCATTCCACTTTGTAATCTGTTTGATATTTCTTTGTCCTCTTCTCAATTTCCAGATATATGGAAATGTTCATCCATTGTTCCAATTTATAAAAAAAATAATGTTCATGCTTATACTAATGATCGACCGGTTTCACTTACTAGTTGTCTTTCAAAAGTATTTGAGAAGTGTGTTTTTAAATATGTGTTAAATGTTTTTTCTAGATAATGGAACTATCACTTCATTACAGTCAGGTTTCACGACTGGTGATTCAACATCATTCCAGCTCACTCATTTGTATGACTATATAGCTAAGGCGATCGATAGTGGCAAGGAGGTACGCGCTGTATTCTGCGATATAAGCAAAGCGTTTGACAGGGTTTGGCACAAGGGTCTTTTGCATAAGTTATGGGCTAGTGGAATACGCGGATCTCTGTTATTATGGTTTGAAAATTGTCTAAATAATAGAAATCAGTTTACAGTAATACATGGGTATAAGTCAAATGTTAAATCAATTAAAGCTGGCGTCCCTCAGGGATCAGTCCTAGGACCTTTACTCTTTTTCGTTCATATCAATTATATTGTTGAAGATATACAGAGTAATATTAAATTATTTGCCGATGATACATCCTTATGTGTGATAATTGATGACCCTATGTTATCTTCCAATATGTTAAACGATGGTTTAGAAATAATAGCTAAATGGGCCCAGACATGGAAAGTAAATTTTAATCCCAATAAAACTGAATCTATCATTTTTTCTAGAAAGAAAACAGTAACATCAATGCCAGATCTTATAATGAATGATATACCGATAAAGTCTGTTGACACTCATAAACATCTGGGGCTGACTTTACAAAGCGATGGCCACTGGAATATATACTAGGCACATAAAGAAACTGCATACGAAAATTTAAAATCTAAATTTATCAAACCTGTGTAGACACATAAGGATTTAAACTCAGATTAGTGATAATGTATCCAACATGCATGCACGTGCCACGTTCTGTGATGTCAGTGGTTTCGTCCTTGGGACGTGCAAGACGTTGTTGCACGTGCAGTCCGGGAAAGAGAAACAGAGAAAATGAATGCCACACAATACTGTCTCTTTGGAAAGCTCAACCCCTGTCCTTGCGATCGTTCAAACAATTAAACGGCTATTGAAACGCATAGCATGCCAAGTCTTACGTCTGCACAACGTCGTGAGGCCATTGGGATGGTCCGTGGGGGGAATATCTCAGTGACAAGTGGCGGCACATTTCCACTGCCACCGGAACACCATTTCTGCACTGGTAAGACGCTACCAGAACACAAATGACGTCATCGATTGGCCACAGGACAGATGGATAAGGGTGACCCATCCTCGTCACAGGTTTCAGACTGCAGTGATGACTCCCCGGACCATCCCAGGACTTCGCCGTATCCACCCCAACACAGTTCGACAACGTTTACGTCATCACGGGATCAGACCACGACGTCCCGCCATACGGCCAATCCTGACACAACGTCATCGACAAGCACGCCGAATGGGTGCCGAAATCATGTCCGCAGACCCTCGTTTTGGTGGAGAAATGTTGTTTTTTACAGATGAGTCCAGGTTTAGCATTTCCCATAGTGATGGACGTCAACGTGCCTATAGACGCGTGGGAGAACGTTATGCACAGGCCTGTGTCTTGGAGAGGATCGTTTTGGTGGTGGTTCCGTGATGATTTGGGGTGGAATAACAACACGCCAAAGAACTCTTTTGGTGATTGTTCAGGGCAACTTAACTGGTGTGGGCTGCAGGGATCAGATTCTTCTACTTGTGGCGATTCCTTTTCTGCAACGTCATGGCCCTGGTTTAACATTCCAACAGGACAATGCCGGCCCTCATACGGCAAGGGTAGCTATGGATTTCTTGCAACACCACAACGTTGACTTACTGCCTTGGCCTGCAAATTCACCGGATCTCTCCCCGATAGAACATGTTTGGGACGAGATGGATCGACGTCTACGCCGTCTTCCTTCTGCCAAATAACGCCCCTGACCTTGCAACAGAACTTGAGAGAATCTGGCGTGACATCCCACAAGCCCTCCTTGCACGTTTGATAGGCTCTATGCGTCGTCGATACACTGCTGTTGTAAATGCCTATGGTGGACATACCCGTTATTGAGCTTGTGACATGGTCGTTTGACCCCTGTCCCGCTTGTGGGCTCGTGACGTCATTGTGATTGACTTTTCAGTTGAAATTCTCCCGACTTGTTATGGTCTCATGATCCCTCCATTACAGTTTATATGTACCTTTGACATTGTTATCGTACTTATCAACTGGGATAATATTTTGACAATGAACAGTTTCTTTATAATATACATATAGATGATATTATTTCTAAAGTTAGTCCTATGATCAATGGTTTAAGAAGTGTGAAATACCGCCTTCAGAGGAAAACCCTCCAAACCCAGTATAGTTCATTTGTTTTACCACTTTTTGACTATTGTGATTATATTTGGAACAACTGTACACAAACTCAAGAGTTATTGTTAGAAAAACTTCACTTAGATGCTTTAAGAACCATATGTGGATCCGTTAGAGGAGTTTGTCATTCTATCATGAAAATGGTTTTTCATCATTAAGGGAACGTCGCAAAAATCACCAAATGTATGATTTCATAAAATGTTCCATAATAAAACTACAAAGTATTTATCAGATCTAATTCCAATAAACATATCCTCTGTATCCACATATGGATCTAGATCTAGCAATATACTCCATTATGTATTACGGAAACATATAAAAAATCTTTTTTTTACCATCCTCTATGACGGAGTGGAACAAGTTAGATAATGATATGAGAAACATAGATTCCGTTGCCATGTTCAAGAAACACTTTGATCGAACTGTCTCATCCAACATATATCATGTCTTCAGAAACACTGGTAATAGATTTAACCAAATAATTCATTGTAAGTTAAGACTTGGCTGTAGTGACTTAAATGCACATAATTTTGACCGTTTTCTTCAAAATACATCTACTTGCACTTGTGGCCATCATTATGAAGATGCCATTCATTTTCTGTTTATCTGTCCAAATATGAATACAATTCGATCAAAGTGTTTCTATTACAAAAATGGTTTTAATATTTAATCTGTACTATGTGGAAGTTACTCATATTCTGACGAAATCAATGAAAATATTGTAAAATCTGTACATGACTGTTTTACCTTAACAAAACGATTTTTGACCTAGTTGATTAATTATACTACTGTCTTTTTCATTAAGTCTTTTACTCTTCAAATGGTGTGTTCTCTTGTCTGTAATGATTAATGTATGTAAAATGTCTCCCATCGAATTGTATTCGGATAGGTATTTATATAGACTTATAGACTGTTTAATAATAAATAAATATTGTTTAAATGTCAGTAGCGAGTATATTAATTATTGTACATCAGATATGTAACTGTAACTGAAAGTTGTATTGCACATTTTGCAGTTTTTAAAGTCAAGTCAAGTAAAGGTCATTGCCCATTTTATGTTATCATATTGCTGTGAATTGTTTCCTTAGAGGTTTGATAAAACTAAGAAATACCTACTGGCGATATTTTCATTCAAGGGAAATGTAAGATTTTGCATGCTTTTCTCAGTTGAGCTGGTCATTTCAAGTGAAATGAATAACATCACTGATATAATCAGGTGTTACATTCAGTGTTTAAACATGATTCCTATTTAGGTTAAAATATGTACCGTTGTACCTATATATACTTAGATTTCAATTGGCGATTTGGTAGTAGATGATACCTTGAATATTTGTACACTGTGCTGGCTACTATTTTGTGGCATCTTTTATCAATCAAATAGGTCACACTGTCCAATGGATGAAACAATATACATGTATGCTACAGATCTTTCCTTTGTGATTGTGAAAACAATATTTTGGTTACATCTATAAATTATTCGGTCTAATTATATAATTTCATTGTGATCAGATGTACCACCTTGCATGCATTTGAATATGTATACATGTCTTACTTTGGCTGTTTTTGTAGTTTTACTAAGCATTGTATGTATTGTATTTGTAGGATGATGCACAGTCTGTGTGGGGCGATGAGGATGGCAACGGTATTGTGCCAGGCATCAACCAGGACTCTTCACATTCACCAACAGACATCCTAGGTAGAGCATACACCATCTGTTTGCGATTGTGGACTGATTCAAGCCTTGTTGTCATCAACTTGGTTATATTTCTTCTTTCTCTGTGTTGCAAAACAAATGTCTCAACTCAGGCTCTGCTTCATATGTACCAGAGGATTGTTGCCTGCTCAGTATGAATGCAACAGAAGCTTCATGGTTGTCAGCGAGTTGCCAAGTCTTTAGTATGTGAGATTGCTAGTGTGTATATGTGATACATTAAGGCATCTTCAAATGCACACTTCAAGTATATGGGCCTATGGCCTTTCATACAATAAGCATGAATTTGAATTTGAAATCTGTTTAATAAATACCATGTTATGGATGCCCAAGCTGACCTAATTTCATCACATGCATAAAACTTTGAAAGGTTTTGACATATTGATTGTTTGCATATTCATACAGAAGTTGTGTTCTCAAATGCTGAAGATTCCCTCTTGATGTTGCTTCTCAAACGCACACGCTTTGATTATTTTCCTGAGTTCTATTGAAATGTGAGCTATTCAAAATAATGAAACAGCTGAATCATAACAGTGACTGTGTTATTGTGTTTGTTGTTTTTTCATGTAAAATGTAATAAATGGCACATTCACAATTGTAAGTTTCTGTATGTAGAATGGTGAGTGAGTGAGTTACAAAGTCACATCGGCAGCCATGTAGTGACTTTGAAAGTCGTAAATTTGTAAATGTGTACATGAAATAATAACAAACTTAGATACTTACCTGTCTGCGAATGACAGTAAAATATCTAGCCTATCATAAATGTACACTAAAACTAGCATAAAACCATAAAATACTTTAACGGTACAATATAAGAATGGACTGTAGATTGCCAACATCTGAAGGTTGATCAGCATACTAGGGACTACGGGAACTTACAGTACTTTTGCTTCCTGCATGGGCCCTAGCTGGATTCTGTACATAGAAACTATCTTGCAAATGTAACAGTAAGTAAATATAGTCCCCCAATGGATCAGCACAAGGCTAGTTATAAGGTTGTCATTACATCTAAGCTAAACCCAAGCGACTTGTCAGTTTCTGGGTACAGAAAGCTAGCGGAAACCTACATTACACAGCATCCAATAGGTTTCCGCAAGAACGGAAACTTAGTTATATTTGCTGTGAAGGTTATTGAGGAACTCCTAACCAGTATCATATTAATTCATATATTAGGCTCTTCACCTGGTGATTTTGGCACAGTGACAATAAAACTTTATTGTGAACTTCTTTGTTGTCAAATATCCAGTACTGTATATTCAAGTAGTGGCTACCTTCAGTATACAACGTCATCCAGTCAATGACAGGTGAAGAGACTGACTGTCAAAATAGACGGGCACCTAGTCAGTCACGTCCCCGAGAACAGCTGCCACAGAACTTGCAATAAACTGGTTGACATTGTTCTATACACATAAAACACCTAGCACATAGCTGTCAAATAGCTGTAGTAAATGACATAACACAGTTATGATTGAAACGATACTCTTCTATTTTTCACAGAACTGTTGGGAAACCTTCTGGTTTAATCGTTCTCCCGTCACGCCGGAGGACCATGTTTGTTTTCCCATATGGGTACAATGTGTAGAGCCCATTTTGTGGTGTTTCCCGCCGTGATGTTGCTGGAATATTACTAAAAGCGGCGCAAAACAAAACCCACTCTTTTTCTGCCGGGGTATGGGGCGCAAAGCGTTTCGACACGAATGCTATCACAGATAAACATTATCGATCGATAATGGAAGGGACATAACTCTTGCAGCCTTAAAAAAACTAGGTTTGAAGGACTTTTGATTTCAAGCGATATCAGCATTTAAGATATACCTTTAGGTCAAAATTATTTCCACTTCATATGTAATACGTATTATTATATTCTCAAAAAAATGAAGAGAGGAATATTCGTAATAATAATAGTTGGATTCTCCGAGTAAGTTGAATTTGTAAATTAAAGGTGTCAAGCCGTCATGGTCGTCAATACTGCACGTCGTATCTGGGTAAACCATAACACACATGAAATTTTACACCTATTCTCACGAAATGAGCACCATTTGTAATTTTACGTGTGTCCGCATTAAAAAAAAACCCCTTTTTTACTGATTTCACTTGTTCACTTGTAAATAGTCATGTAATGTGAAATTAAGGTATTGTCCATTTCGTCTGTACCCAGAACATGTCTTCATCTGGTTTAATATTTCTTTTAGAATATATGTTTAGTGCGATATCTCCAAACAGTGTAATCTACGTTACACCATAAAAATGACCACCTAGTTATTATAAAAATTATTTGACAGGTGTGTCTTATCTAAGATGGTCAGTTTGCTAGGACTGAAGGCATTCTTATGCGAAACAATGAGGTTCACAATATAAATAACTCGCTATAAAGCTGACACGAAGCCTATCACATTGTCGACCTGATGTAAATAATAGCGACAGCAACGTTTCCATGATAAGTCTCCACTAAGATCAGATTGTACAGTTCCGACTGTATGTGTTTATATTACACTATCAAGTAGTGATGAAATCAGGTGGGAACGTATGACACAAGTCATAATAGAAAATTATATGAGATATCATGTTTGTCACTGATGTATCCGATCTTGAAATGTAATTCACATGTCTGCTATAAGCGTACTGATGCTTTGAATGTTGGAATTTTGTTGGCGCCAAACCTTTACTTTTTCTAACGACCACCACACAATATCTGAGACCCGTTGTTTATTTTTAAACTCTAAAATCCGAAAATTTCAAGCATTGATTTTTCTAATGAACCTTCCCATTCGGAAGTGCTAAACGAACAAAAGCTAAGTACCTGTGTTGTGGAGTTCAGATTTGCACATTCTACATTCCAATATATACTACATATCGTGTCCCAGTGCCTCACGTCCGTGGATCGGTATGGCGTCATTATTACGTCATTATGGCGTGGAATCTTAGCCCCGAAACTTTGTGTGATGACCGATCTGTAGAGAATTATATCAAACACTCTGGTTAAAAAAACTTTAGATAGTAGTATAAAATTCGTGTTCAGGTATTTGGTATATGATACTTGATAGCCAAAGCACATCTGTACTGCTGATATAATTTCCTATGCAGTTTTTCCTGTGGGTCTGACATTGTCATGTTGAATGAGATTAAATGTTTCCCTGGCGTAGAGCCAAATCCATAAGGAAATGAAAAGCGTTTTGTGACATGGCTTCACATTCTACCCACTCATACTGAAAGTAATGCATAATGAAAAGTAACCTTCAGTTATTGATTCATTTCAGGCTAACTCGTTTAACAAGCTATGGGCCCAGGACATTAAACACTGACATATCCCATGATTTAGGCGCATTCACTGTATACCATGACAAGTACAGCCCGGCTCAAAGCGAAATTTGGTTAAGAAGAATAGTAACATTAACAGGTAATAGTCATAAATATCTGGAACATTACCGCACGAGGACTGACCATGTGAACTGCAATGCTAAAAAAGGTTGCACCCATGGTAAACTGTCTTAGAGGTTTAAAATATCGTCTATCACGTAAAAGCCTAGAATGTACAAACAATTATTTTGCCTATTTTCGACTATTATCGTCACATCTGGGACAATTGTACCAAACAGCAAGCACTAACACTTGAAAAAGTTAACATTGATGCACTTAGAACTATTTGCGGTGCTGTTCTCGGTACGAGTCGTAATAAAATTTATGATGAGACAAATTTTCAACCATTATGTACTCGAAGTTATATCCAAAACTAACATATTTCTTTAAAAAAAATAAATAACAATTAAAATTCAAAATAGTTGAATAACCTAACCCCTCGTCAGGTATCTGACACTACAAGCTTCAATTTCCGAGACCGTTTGAAGCTCCAAACTATCGATAGTAAAAGTGCAAATTATGCCAAGTCATTTCTCCCAGATACAGTAACATTGTGCATCCCTTTGGCTACCGTTCATAGAGAATCGACTTCCTTGGGTAGTTTTGAGACACAGATTAATGTGTCAAATAATAATAGTCACAACTAATAAAATTCTGGATCAAAATTCTGTCAGATTATCCATTCACGCCTCAGACTACAGTTGCAGGGGTCATAAGGCACACAAATATGAGAGATATATTTCTTCAAATACTAGTAGGTCGTGTTCTTGCTGCTATTGTAACTGTTTCTTTACTGCGTTAATTACCCTGATATAGGAAATGACACGTACTTTTCTGCTAAAGGATATGACATTAATTCGTTATTATACGACCACTCTAACTGATCTACTGAAGATAATCTTGAAATTTTAGAATCTATCAATGCTATCATTGTCTCGTCAGGCAGATCTGAGTTTGTAAGTAGTTAAAACTAATACTTCCCGACACAAATAGTTCTAATGTTAGAAGCAGGAAACTATCGTTTGTTTGTCACATGTTTTTCCTCATGATTTTTACACCGTGTTTGTGTCCTGGAGCGGTATTCATGTAAGCAACATGCTGCTTGTTTACTAATCAGGTTCCACCTTTGGAAAGAAATATATATTTATACCATGATATGTGCTCGATGTTCAGTGTGCTCATGGTCCATTTAAACACAGATCAAATGCTATACTACACTATATTCCACTCCAAGACGAGCCACACAGCTGGTATGGGACAGTTTTGCTACTCATAGTTCCTGGGTTGATGGAAACTAAACTGACCATTCTAAAGTACGCCTGCTTGTATACGTTTCGAAATGGCTCTGGGCAGCAGTGAACACCTTCCAAGTGGTCATTCGATCGGTGACCAGGGTTTTCTGTACCTGAAGCCTGCATACAGTCCTTGCTTTCTGTATTGTATTTTTTCTAAAAAAAAACGTTTTAAATAATCTTCAGAGTACTTGCTGACCACCTTACTGGGATGTCACCAACTCCGCTCTCTGGAGATCTGCCATTTTGATACCGAAAAATAATCACATTCCAAGACAACAAGAAGCATGATCTCCCCTAAAACACCAGCTGATGTATAAGTAATAAACAATATGTTTATTGAGTATAATCTCCCTTTAGATATGAGCTTATGTCCTTCCAGTATTTGTTGATAATCTCCCTTTGTGTTAACTGTTAAGGAGTTACCAAGATAACTCAAGAAATGGGGCAGGTCTACTACGTTTCCTCCCTGGTGTAGGCTGCAGTAGAGAACTAAAGTTGGGCAGTTCAGTCCCTAGGGGTATTGTTGTTTGGTATTATGGGTACTGTAGAGAAAATGAAGTGTAGGCGAATCGAGTTTGGAGAAACGAAGACACGCCCAGGTATGAATTCGTGGGTCGTCATGATCCAGCACAGGAGGAAGCTCACA